ACCTGTCTGGAATGGTCTAGATAATACTTAGTCCTGCCTTGATTAGAAGACCTCTCAAAGTTCCTTTCAGTCCTACAATTTCTTTGACTCTATGCTTGTGTTTATCTTGAAGCCCAAGAGTATTCCCATTGAGGTCAATAGGACTATTCATATGCGTAAAGTTAAGCATGTGTGTGTTTGCAGGATCTAGGTCTCAGAGCAGCAGCAAGGCCAGTGATTAAAGCACCAGACTGAGAGTCAAGAAATTTAGATTTCAGCCCTTTCACAAATTGGCTGTGTGGTCTTGACCAGGTCATTTAAGACTCACTGTGCCTCAGTTTCCTGGTCTGTAAAATGAGGAAGTATGACTTTCTTACTTCCTGGTGGGTAGTGCTGGGTGGTGGTTAATTAGCTGTTTGCAGAAGACAGAGATGCTTGGATGGAAAGTGCTAAGTATTGTACACAGCATTAGAAATATATCTTGTATGCCACCCTCTGTAACAATAAAGTGAATGCAGTGAAAGTGAAACAGATCACTCTAATTAGGAAAGGCTTTGTCTTAAGAGCCTGACCTAGCACAATGGGTTGCTACTGCAATAAGTAACTTGTCTCCAAATGCACTGCATGCAACATTGCTCCACCTTTAAGCCACATTACGTGTTGTGTGGTTGTTTAAGACAAGCTGCACCATATAACATTGTATGTTAACTCCTCTGCAATAACCCGTTGCCTGGTAATGTGAGTTTATAGGTAAAGAAACTGTTCCATGCACAGATTCTGAAAGCCACACCCACTGTAAGCCATGTACTGCTACAAGGTTTTGTTCTCTTTGTGCCAAGAGTATAAAGATTTGTAGGTTTCTAAAGGTTATCAACTACTATCAGCTACCACAGAACAGTTACTGTTGAGGAAATCAAGTCAGATCCAGAGGAAATAAAGTGCTAACTACAGAACCTGAATAACTTTATGGGCAGGAGAGGGGAGAAACACTTCAGGAGAAGGAATGCGGATAATGCAGATAAATACCAGTGAAAGTCAGAACTTTTGCATGAAGCTCCTCCCTTAAAAAAATCACTTGAATTTACCAAAGGGTGGGGGAGGGGGGAAATCACTATTATTAGGAGTATGTTTGCTTTCAAAAAGCATTATGATGTAGTCCTTTTTATTTAAAGTTCCACAGGTAAAGTAAAAACAACGAGCATCTAGTGGCACCTTAAAGACTAGCAGATTTATTTGGGCATAAGCTTTCATGTGTAAAAAACCCACTTCTTCAGATGCTTTTTGCATGTTCATTGTTTTTGTGGATACAGACTGACACGGCTGCCCCTCTGATACAGGTAAAGTAATAGCCCCTTTCAGAATGTCACAAACACATGTTCAATTCACGGAATATTTGTGCAAAGGAAATTTGACATGTTGAAATAAAGTGTTCCCTTCTTGGACAGCTCAGTAATAGCATTTCATCAAGGCATAGCAGCCAGGCTGTAACAAATGTAAGCAGGGTCTGAATGGAGCAAACTGTATTTACATGAACACACCTGCTCTGTGTAGGTATCTAGCAGACAGGAGCTGTGGAGCTCCAAGTGATCAGCTTTCGCTGGTGTTGGGTTACAAATCACTTTAGTACTGAATGCAGGGGAAGTGAAATGTGTTATCAATGTTCTTGTCTTTATTGTGTAAATAAAGGGGAACAGAACTGTGCTTAACCTGTCCCAAATGAGGAGGCCACTCTCAGCTGAAAGGACCTCGTTAAGCCAGGGGCTCGAATGCCAGAGCCCTGGAAAGGGGGTAGGGGAGAGAGACAATTGTCTCTGCTAGGAGGTGTGGCCTTTCCCTAAGGGTCCTTGGTTTAGTTTAACCTGTTCCTCCCCACTGTTCAAAGATAGAGCTAAATAGGCTCCATTAGGAGCCTTTGTTATTTTAAGTGCTGAAATCAGTTGTGGTGGAACAGTGTTTCTGCCCAGCCTGCTGAGAGCTAAAACTCACTAAGAGCTGTCAATCACTAAGGGATTGACCCACAGAGGTCACAGCAGAGAGGCAAATGGCAGCAGAAGGTGACCGGTGGGAGTGGCCAGCAGGAGGCAGCGAGCAGTCGGCCAGAGGTGACGAATAACAGCTGGCAGGGCAGCCAGGCAGCGAGGAACTGTGGCTGGTGAGGCAGACAGCCAGAGCAAGTGCTCGGATGGCAAAGCAAGTCAGCTGTCTTCTTCCCCAGGTGGGAGGTGAACTCACACAGATGCACTTCTGAACCCTGGGTCCTCACTGACCAAGGACAATCACTGTGACGGGGGTATGGTGAGGGAGCAGAGGGGGGCACACTAAAGGAACTTTTGGTTGTAGAACTCAGGAACATGAGGCAGAAGACTCTGCCCCATGCACTTCAGGGTGGATGTCCTTCTCAGAGTTTTATGTTTATGAGTCCTGCTTGTGGCATTTCCCCTAATTAATGTTGGGTGACTTCTCTCCTTTCATTAAAAGTTTCTTTTCTACCCTCAGATTCTGTGTTTGCGAGTGGGGAAGTATTGCCTCTCAGAGGCACCCAGGGTGGTGTGTAATTTTCCAGGTTACTGGGTGGGAGCTCGAGCCAGTTATGTGTTGTATTGTTGAAAAGGAACCCGTAGGTATTGAACCCGGCCCTGGTTGCTGCCGGCTCCACCTGGCAGAAGGGTTACATAAAGAGTTGGGATCTATAACGAATGGGATAGAAAATAATACTGAAAAGATTATATTACTTGATGGCATGCTTTGAATGCTGTGGTCAGGGCTGGCCACATCAGCTGCAAAGAGATCTAGCAGAAGTAGGAAGGGTCCAGAGACAAGTGACAAAAATGATTAGGGGTATGAAAGAATGTCCATGCAAAAAGACTGAGGGCCAGAATCTCAGTTGGTCAAAATCAATGTTGTTCTACTGACTTCAAAGGAGCTACCCTAATTTACAACAGCTGTGAGCATCTCATTTAGAGAGGAGAGGAGTACGAGGGAAAATGATAATAGTGTAGAAAATAAATGTATGATACAGAAAAGGTAAATCATGCTCTTCTACTTGCCATCTCTCATTAATCAGGCAGAAAGGGATAGTAAAATAGAAAGACAAATTTAAAACAGATAAAAACAGAACACTTTTTTTTCACACTATGCATAATTAACCTGCATAACTCATTGCCACATCCTTAGAGGTTTTTAAGGCCCAGCTTGATGAAGCCCTGGCTGGGATGATTTAGTTGGGGTTAGTCCTGCTTTGAGCAGGGGGTTGGACTAGATGACCTCCTGAGCTCTCTTCCAACCCTAATATTCTATGATTCTATGATCTCAGTGAGTTTAGCAGAATTTTAAAAATCTAAATAGACAGCCAAAAGTTGTAAACCTAGGTGCTCAAAGTTAGGTTCCTGACTCCATATTTAGGAATCTAAATAAGCTACAATTAAGCACCTGGTTTAAAGTATTGGCCAAATATCTATGTGGATGAGAAGAACAGTTAGAGTTCTATTAGATAGTATAAAATAAGTTCTAAGAGATGTAAACCCTCATGCCTAAGATTTGGAAGACATTTCTCATATGGGAGGATTACTCTATGATTGTCATTTATGGGGATTCTATCAGCTTTCTTGTTCAGGACTTACTGAACACTCTCAGAGACAAGTGACTAACCTAGATGGCCACTGTTCCAGCCTGGTATGTCAATTCCAATTGTTTCTAGAAACAACAAGCTGAAAGTGTGTTAACTTTTACAGCTCCAAGGAGAAGCATCCTCCTCCATAATAAACACATGGAGGAACTGAAGAGTATCCAGAAATGATTCATCTTTTCTTGACCCCCAAACAAATAGCCAAACTAGGGCTGTCAATTAAACTCAATTATCACATGCAATTAACTAAAAAAAATAATTTTGATTAAAAAAATTAATTGTGATTAATCGCACTGTTAAACAATAGAATACCAATTGAAATTTATTCAATATTTCCAGATGTATTTCTATATTTTCAAATATATCGATTTCTATTACAACACAGAATACAAAGTGTACAGTGCTCACTTTATATATTATTTTTATTACAAATATTTGCACTGTAAAAATGATAAACAAAAGAAATAGTATTTTTCAATTCACCTCATACAAGTACTGTAGTGCAATCTCTGTCCAACCTAAACCTTCCTTGCTGCAATTTTAGCCTATTGCTTCTCATCTAACTTATCAAGCAGAACCCATCATCAGCATGGACGCATGTCATATGGAATGGTGGTTGAAGATGAAGGGACATATGAATCTTTAGCGCATCTGGCACATAAATATCTTGCAACACCGACTACAACAGTGCCATGCAAATGCCTGTTCTCACTTTCACGTGACATTGTAAACAAGAAGCGGGAAGCAGCATCTCCTGCAAATTGTAACCAAGTTTGTTTGTCTGAGCGATTGGCTGAAGTAGGACTGAGTGGACTTGTAGGTTCTAAAGTTTTACATTGTTTTATTTTTCAATGCAGTTATTTTTGTACATAATTCTACATTTGTAAGTTGCACTTTCATAATAACGAGATTGCACTACAGTACTTGTATGAGGTGAATTGAAAAATACGATTTTTTTTGTTTATTAGAGTGCAAATATTTGTAATAAAAAATAAGTATAAAATGAGCAATATACACTTTGTATTCTGTGTTGTAATTGAAATCAACATATTACAGCAGCCCCTAGAAGCCTCAATCAAGATTGAGACTATATTGTACTAGGTACTATACAAATATATAGTAGGAGACCATCCCTGTCCTGAAAAGCTTATAGTCTAAAAAGAGACAAGACATACAAAAGGTGAAAGGAAGAACAGACACACAGAAAAGTGAAGTGACTTGGCTAAAGCCACAAAGCAAGTCAGTAGCAAAGAGTGAAATAGAAACTAGATCTGCAAACCCCCTCCACCACCCTTGCATGGCATGCCTAGACCACAGTTCCCATCTCTGCATTAACAGTCTTATTAACAGTGATGAATACGCTTCGTTTTGACTCTTTCTTTCCTTTCTCACACAGAATCAGTGCACCTGCCAGCATGCAAATACCTGCTGAAGGAGAAGAGAATGAATCCCACTCTTCCTCCCCAAAAAACTATCAGAAAACCTTGTGTTTTGCAGCTGTTGATGACTGAATCATTAATCAAGCAGACAAATATGGAAATCCTATACAAATTTAAGCAAATAGTGTTTGACATTTAGATCAGTTGATAAAGACAAGCTGTTTGAGCCTTTTGAGGAGTGTTTGTTTAAGCTATTAGCATGAGGAACACAGAGTTTTAAACAAACAATGGGTCCAATTTTGATCTCAGTTACACCAGGGAAACGTTGGCTTGACTCCATTGGTTTAACAGAGCCTTTCCAGCATTACAGCAGTATAAAGAAGAGCGGTATTTTGGAAATAAAGAAGAGCATCTATTAAATTGTTGCAAGTTTTTTGACCACCAAATAGAGCTGTTCAAAAAAAGGATTATTTTTTTTAACCCCATGACATAAAAAAAGATTGGACACAACTGTCATGAACCCCGCACCCTGCCGTCCCATTTTCCTGTTGGCTCACCTTACCAGATAAGGATTAATGGGGGATGCTGAAGCCTATTAAGCAAACAGTATTTGACCCAAGATGTTTTGGGGTGACTAAGCATGCAGTTTCTTCTTGGGGACTTTTTTCTATCATGTATTCACTACTAGATTGTTTTTTCCACCCTCACTCTTCTGACATGAAATTTCAACAAACTTTATTATGGCCTTATCCAAAGCCCATTGTGATCAGTAGGATCCTTTCAATGGGCTTTGACTCTCCCTTTAGTGAGCACTTACTCACATGAGTACCTTTGTCTTGTCTATTTAGACTGTAAGCTTCTCAGGGCAGGGACTATCTACTGTGCTATCTACTGTGATAGCACAATGCGGTCCAGATCTCAGCTGGGGGTAGGCAGTCCTGTACTGCAAATAATAATAGTCCCGTTGAAATAACTACTTACCAATGCACAAGTGGGCTGTTAATTTTTGTATGCTGCCGGTAGTTGCATTTCTAGATTCCGGCTTGGACTGGAGGGCGGAGTGCTGAATACTAAAGAAGGGCTGCACTATTTCTTTTGAATGGAGATACCACAGTGATGGGCTCAGGATCAGAACCTAATTAGATTAGACACTAACCACACCCAAAGTGAGGCTTTTGAAGTTTGTCCTTCAGTTGAATAGTTATTGCAAAGCTCTTGGGTTATAACTCAGTCTCCATAACGAAGGAACATTTTGGAGGGGGAACGCGGTTATTTTTAAACATGCAGGTTTAGATCCCAGAAGGGTGATTTCAGCTCTTTTCTCCCAAGGTATATACATTGCATATGTTGTAGTTGAAACTGGAGGGGGTCTTGTGGATAAGACCAACTGAGATCCTCTTTGTTTTGTGTAGACACTAGTTTTGTTCTGTTTTGCATTAGAGTAAATCTGGGTTAACTCCTCCAGTTACTGGAGTTACTGTAGATCTATGTCAGTGTAGATGATAGCAGAACTGCATCTTACAGATCCGGTGATGGTTCCCTTATGATTAGAGATTTGCCTTGGTGCCATTGGTTATAATTATTCTTCCATACTCTATTTCACAGTGTTTTGTGTCAGTTGCCTGGCTGCATTTCTCTGTGTATCTAGATTGTGGAAAGCTTTACAATCCTGTGAAAAAGGGTAACATCCTGTAAGCTATTATTATATATTTTAGTTTGCAAAGATGGGTCTGAACTAAAACCCCAGCTCTGAACCCTTTGAGCTTTGGGAAAAACTGGCTCCAGATCTGAATTTTGCTGTTGGCCTCTTCTCTATTAGTTTATATTTGCTGCTAGCAAGTAGTGGGTGGAGCAGATAAGCTGATAGACCTGTGAACTGGCCATTCATGACATAAACAGAGTCAGTGAAGTGAATTATAGCTGGATATCCATTCAGGGGCTTAGTGTTGTCCACATTATATATAAGGCTGTGGAATAAAGGTGATGATTTATCATCATGGATTCATATAAGCGTGAACCATCCCAGTTAGTTCATATAAAATATGTATGCTATTTCTAATCATTTATCATATGACTGTGCTCTTCCAGGCAGCCCTTTAAACCTCCCTTCTAAATACCCTACACAATTCAGAATGAAAAATAGTTGCTGTGGAAATAATTATGGTGTGTCATACGCAGCATAGTTTATTTTTAAGAAAGCGCAGCTATCAATACAGGTAGTGACCTTCTCAGTCACTGTCTGGCACGTACATCGGCAGTGAAGCACAACTGTCAAGTGAAAAATTCCTTTCATGTTTAACAGTCCTTGCTCTTCCTCACAGCATCAGTCCCTTGGTGATCAATGAACACACATACATCTCTGAACATTTACCCTGTTGTTACTTCAGAAATGCCACATTTCCTCGCCTTGTGAGAACCTGTCTTCCGCTACCAGCAAATGACTATACTTGAAAGCAAAAAAGCAAAGGAAGTCAAATATTTAACACTAGCCATCATTGTCCTGTTAACTCATAGCTGAGATTCAATCAGACACAAAAGGTGAGGGATGGAATTTGAGTTCAGCGTATTTGTATTTTACAATTTTAATGCCTAAATAGTGTACGGTTCTTTGCATTAAAGCAACAAGAGCTTTGTGTTTAACAATTATTATTTTTATTGAAACAGTGTTTCTCAAACTAGGGTCCACAGACCCCTGAGGGTCCGCGAGGGTCGTCCAGGGGGTCCACAGGCCCTGCTGATCAACTCTTCCCCCTCCCTCCAAGCACCTCCTGCTCGCTGGGGAACAGCTGTTCAGTGGTGCGCAGAAGGCACTGGGAGGGAGGGGGAGGAGTGGGGACAGGGCGTGCTTGGGGGAGGGAGTGGAATCATGTCCGGGACTGCTGGCCCCATTGATCAACTCCTTCCCCTCCCTTCCAGTGCTTCCTGCACACCGGGGAACAGCCCTTCAGTGGCATGCAAGAGGCACTGGGAGGGAGGGAGAAGAGTGGGGAGAGGAGGCAGGGAAGAGGTGGGGTGGGGGTGGGGCTTTGGGGAAAGGGGTGGAGTGGGGGCAGGGCCTGGGGCTAAGCGGGCAGCCTTGGGGTGTCCGTGAAAAAATTTAAATCAAAATGGGGGTCCTCGGGTTGCTAAAGTTTGAGAACAGCTGTATTAAAACATAACATAGTCGCCAGAGTCTATTGTAAGCTGTGACCTGCCACGATCTGTTCTGCCCCAGGCAGACCAGAGCCCCACCTTCCAAAATGGAGGATGACTGTTGGTCTCTGCAGTCCCACCCTCTATTCAATGATATCAGCTACTCCACACAAACAGCACTCAGGTAAGGAGAGAAGTGGGGATTCACCCAGAGTCTACCTACCAACATCACTGCTGGGGTCGGTGGATAAAGATGGTCTTTCTACCCTGAGGCTAAGTTTACACTATGGGGGTGGGGTCGATTTAAGATACGCAAATTCAGCTACGCGAATAGCATAGCTGAATTCGACGTATCCGAGCGGACTTACCCCGCTGTGACGACGGCGGCAAATCGACCTCCGCGCTCTCTCGTCGATGGCGCTTACTCCTACCTGCGCTGGTGGAGTACAAGCGTCGATTCAGGGATCAATTGTCGCGTCCCGACGAGACGCGATAATTCGATCCCCAATCGATTTCTACCCACCGAGTCAGGCGGGTAGTGAAGACGTAGCCTTAGATAAGTGGTTGGAAGCTTGCTTGCCATTCTCTGGTTGCCTCTGTTGAACTTCAGCGTGATGTGCATTGTGGGCACCTCAGATCATATTTCAGAACACACCGGCTCCACACTGTCCTCCCTGTTAGCTCCCTCAATATATGCCAGTATGAAAAGGGGGCAGGAAAACTGTGGTGGAAAGGAGTAAGTTAGATCAGCCCTGCAGCTACAAAGCCATCTTTGTCCTGCACTGAGTGGAGCACGGCCAGACCTGAGAACTGTGCCCTGTTCATTTTTTCAACATTTTGCAGTAAGGACGGATGAGCAGATTTGTTTCTGCTGTGAAGACAGCAGTTTTCATTAGGACTTTGCAAGACTGATTGATAAAATGAGGAGTTGTAGGGAGCCAGGGTGGCTGCCCTCCGAACCTGAGGGTAAAGGGCTGCTCTCTCAGCCTGAGTGGGCGGGGCCAGGCCAAGCTTGCTCCACCTCCCGGAAGGGGAGGGGTGGAACAGGAAGTATAAAGGGCGAGGCCCTTAGCTCAGTCAGGGCAGCACCAGAGAGGGAGGCAGACGCAGACTGCGGGCTGCTCCCTTCCGACCCTGCTGCCATGCCAGGGGAAGCCCTGGACCAGTGGAAACCTCACCTGGAGGAAGGACTGGGGCTGCCAGGACTGCCCGCTGCCGAGTACCCAGAGGGACTGGAGGAGCCGGAGGGGGAGCTGGAGTTGCCAGCAGCCAAGGACCGGGAGGACCTGGAGGAACCTGAGCCCGAGGGGGAGCTGGAGCTGCCGACAGCGGACTACCCCGACGCACTGGCGGGACCAGAGGGCTTAGGACGAGCAATCGGGTACGAAGTAGCCCATGGACAGAGCTGCACAGTGGTGAGTCTATACAATGGAAGGATCCCGCTAATCCAGTGGCGGGACCCTCGTCCTGCCACTGTCAGGGCCCTGGGCTGGAACGCAGTGGTGTAGGGTGGGCCTGCGTTCCCCTACCCGGCCAACCCATGCCGGGACCTTTGCCGGCGCTCCCCTGCCTGAGGGGCACGTTACTGACCTTTGCCGGCGCTCCCCGGCCTGAGGGGCGCGCTACTGACCTTTGCCGGCGCTCCCCTGCCTGGGGGGCGTGCTACTGACCTTTGCCAGCGCTCCCCTGCCTGAGGGGCGCGCTACAGATACTGGCTGGCATCCTTCCCGCCGCTAATTCCCCAGTGGCAGAGGCGTGACCCAGGCCGGCCAGTGATGTCATAGCTCCCCACCGCCCCCTAGCGGGTAGGTGGACCGACACCGATCACAGGA